TCCCCTGTTGACAAGCCGGGGTGCAAAGTCTCTCCCCAAGCTGTGGCCACTGCGCCATGCAGGAGGCAACTTAGGTTCAGTCCCCATGTCAGCGATGTTGCTAGCACAGCCTCTCTGTTCACCAGAACAAACCATCCCTTGCCGACACGTGACCATTTTTCCCCCTTGTTGCAGGATTGCATTATGCTGGTCACTGCAGCATACTGCATTCCGTCATCAGGTGTCGCCCCCTTGAACACTACACGCAGCACGTTGTGCGGATCGGGAAATACTCGTGCCAACCTGAGGATTGCATGTGCCCAACCTTTGGTTACTTGTCCACAGGCCGTCTTGAGATCGTAGTACACATCATTATCGTCGTCTTCTTCGTCGCTGCTGACGTCGCTGCCGCTCACCTCCACGTCAGACCCCTCGTACTCTTCCTCATCCTCCTCCTCTGCATCATCTCTGTGCTCTGCATCGTCTCTGCGCTCTGCCAACTGTTGTTCCCCTAAGAAGAAACCCTCACACATGTCCATATACATCAAGTCCTCTGTCGTTGATGTGTGCATGGTAGACACGTCGACCACCATCGTCCCACTCGTATCTTGTGCTGCTGATGTCTCCCCGGTTTCTTCAATGACCGATAACCTTGTTTCGCTGGCAATCAGCCTCCAACCCTCTTCCCTTTCTCTCTGTCTCTCGACATCGCAGGTTGCAAGACCAAGCCGCTCCAGAGCACAACCCAACAAGCCCCCCCACAATGGTCTGCCACTAATGATCTCCTCTCCTGCTGACGCTGGCACAAAATCAACGAGATCTCAACCCTGCACGGCGTACTCTGTGACTTCGTGCAAGGCCTCATGAATAACGTTCCTGTCGTCCTCTATCTTGTTCATGAGGTCACATAGCTGATCAAGCAAAACGTATTCTACACCGTCTGCAACAATCACGGGAAGCTCTTGAAAGTCCTAGGGAAGTGTTTGTGTCATGTCCTTGATTCTGGACAGCACTAGTATTTCTGCAGCACCCCTCTTCAACTCGTCGTTCGCCCCTTCAACAAGCATGTCCCATCCCTTCGCCACACTCACCATAAACTTCCTGAAAGCCACAGGTGTATAGGTCACCCCTTTCTGCTGCATTGTCATGTCGACAAGTCCTTCGTCGCACATGCCTTCGCTGCACATCCACTGCACAACTCCTTTTAGACTGTATGGGTTGTCTTCCGAGTCGCTGTCCACACGAACATCATGTGACTCTCTCAATCGTTCCAAGAGTGTTTGTGCCTGCACACAACCACTTCCGTTGGCCATGATCGTGGATCTCATATCCACGCTAACAGCAAAGTACCCCGAAGCCCTCCTCTGCATACTTCATCACCTTTGTGAGAGCCTTCGCCAACTGTGCTACCGACATCGACATGATGCACAAGCTTTGTCTTTCGACCTCTTCTCTCTGCCAGCAGAAACGCACAAAAACGCCATCGACATGTCTGTGTGTGTGTGTGCGTGTCTGTGTGTGCGTGTGTGTGTGTGTGTGTTTGTGTGTGTGTGTGTGTGTGTGTGTGTGTGCGCGTGTGTGTCTCGGCCTCTGTGCCGAGGTTGGCTACTGCGGGCCATTCACTGTTGCAAGGGTTATCGTTTGGCAGATTCTGGCACGCAGTAGCCAACTTCAGGGCGGCGTCCAACAACGTGTGTGTGTGTGTGTGTGTGTGTGTGTGATTGTGTGTGTGTCAACACATAAGATAGGGGCAACAACTGAAGTGCGAGGGTATGGCAGGCGAGAGGTGTGTGATGAGATTCGCAGAATTCTGAACACTCACCGCTACTTCATGAGCTCAATCGACCTTGGTGATTACCTGTCGGTAGAGACTGTCACCACCTGCTGGACAGGTCCATTTCGGGAGCCATCTGTGGGAGCACGTCATCCATACAGACAGACAGACAGACTGTCTGTTCAACAGACAGAAAGACCGACAGTCTAACACAGGGACACACATCCAGACA